TTGACTTTTTTCTTAATGATGGAAAAAAATATATGATAGCCTTCGGTTTTCTTTTAGGTTTGTTACTGTGATCATTAGAAATGGAAGAAAACGCTGGTGATCCAGCAAAAACTAAAAAGAGACTGGTTAATGCTTTAAAAGGAGGAAGTTGATCTTCTCTCCACCTCAAATAATGACAATAACAAAAACTGTAAGAAATCGAAGGCTATCATTTTTATTTTTTCCATCATCAAGAAAGAGGTCAAGTGGGAGAAACCATTTTTCATCTATTTTTCAACTTCTCGGTGTTTTTCAAAGGTATGAATGGATCAAGGTATCTCTTTTTCAAATTATGTGAAAAACATGAAACTCTAATATTTATAAAAATGATGAATTTATATCTTGTGGCTCTACATAATTACAGTCATAATTTTTCATGTATGTAAAAAAAGTGAAGCCCTAAGATTTATAAAAATTATGACTTTATGTCTTATTATTCTGCATATAACTACGATCATAGTTTTTCATGTGTTATCTATTCTCATATTTAATAGATTGAATTTCTCTTAGTGATAGGAACAAGCCCAATTTCACTTAGTTGTTTTGAATGTTAATTTACAACTTTAAATTGACATATCAGCTGATATTAACATGAGAGTAGTGCTAATAAAAAGATTTTTTTATAAAGTTTGGAAAAGATTGAACAGATTAAAGTCAATGTTTATGCAAATGACAATTGCAAACAACTTAAAGACTATCTCTAATTTTGTGAGGCCAAGTCAAGCAAATTTAACTGTAATTTTCATGAAAGTCTAATTCTCACTTTCATGAAATTTTTTAGGAAAAAGCTTCAAAATTCAAAAGTCCTTGCCTCTAGATTGTGTTTCGCGAATATACCTTTAATAAAAATTAATAAAATAAAATAATTAACTCATAAAAAACATAAAAAGAAAAAAATGAAAAAAAAAGTATTTTAATTATATCAAAATTATGAGGCAACAAAATTTTTTTGTTTATCATGAGTAGGGATGCTATTGTTGACATGATAACCTCTATACGAAATGCGGACATAGATAGAAAAAGAATCATTCGAATAGCATCTACTAACATCACCCAAAAAGGCCGGACGAAGATTGGCCCTCAAGTGCGAGAGGCCAAAGGGAGCTTAACCGCAAGACCCACCCATCGAGTAGGGACAATGGTCGGCCTTGGTGATCCGATGGTGCCAAGTGGATGGATCGACGCTTAACGGATAAAAGTTACTCTAGGGATACCGGATTAATCTTCTCTCACATCAATAAGAAGGTTTGATACCTCGGTATTAGCTCTTCACCACCCGGGGCCGTAGTATGTTTCAAGGGTCGGGTCGTAGGAGTGAGCAAATGATTTGGTTAACCGAAAACCGAATCAAACCGAACCGAATTATGTATTTTGGTTCGGTTTTAAACTTAAATTTATAAAATTAAAAACCGAACCGAAAAACCAAAATTATTTCGGTTCGGTTCGGTTTTTGAAAAAAAATCGGTTTTCACCGAAAACCGAAAAAATTAAAAGCAAAAAAAAAAAAAAAAAAAAATTTTTTTTTTTTTGAACCCTAATTGGCTAACTTCACTAAATCAAAATCAATTTTTAGCGGCGCCTCCCTAGCTCCCTATCCTTCGCTCCATCTTCTCCGATTCTCCTTCATCATCACTTCATCAAGCCGGAGGAAGCATTCATGAATTTTAAGATTCTTAATTTAGTCAACTATCAATTGAAAGAATTAAATAAAGTTGATGATTAACTACAATCAATTGTCTTTTACAAGTTTAGTTGTTTCTTTGCAAGACAATCAAATGAAATTAACTTACTATTGCAAGATGGTTTTAGGTCTCTGTGAGCTTGAATTTTACAAACCGAAAGAAAGTTCGTTTTAATTTCTTTTCTACTCGCACAAAATTGCTAATGAAAATCTTTTGGACTACATTTTTTAGTGGGAATGATGATTGTAAAATTATTAGGGATGTTATACATATTGGTAACCTTTACCTTGCTTTATATATCTTTTTATGATAGTGATTGATGTTGGAAAATTATAATCTTCAACAATGACTAATTCGGTCTAAAATTTTGTTTCCTGCGGTTCATTCCCAATGGCTTTTTAGCAAGATAAGCAAGGAGATCATAGAGGTCAAATCAAGAATTAGGATGTTGTCGGTGCTTGATGAGTTCGGAATAAGCAAAAGAAGGAAGACAACTACATTTTTTTTCTTCTCTCGTTTAGGACATTCGGTGTGTCAACTGTGATTAGGTAGTCGCAAAAGATATTTCCTATGTAAGGGCTTTGTTTTCTTATTGTCTTTTTTTCTTTTCTTTTTTATAGTAAATGGTGAAAATGATGGTGGCTTAGGACGGATAATGAAACAATGGTCTAGAATTTTTTTTTCGGTAAAACATTTCGGTTAAAATCGAAATATTTTGAAACCGAACCGAAATAATTTGGTTATAAACCGAATTTACCGAATTTATTTTGGTTCGGTTTTGGTTTTTATTTTCCTTGATTCGGTTAACCGAAAACCGAACCGAATCGTACAAAACCGAACCGTTTAACCGTTTGCTCACCCCTATCGAGTCGTTCGCCTATTAAAGTAATACATGATCATGTAAAATTAATTATGATATATATTACTCATATGATGCATGATAGTTAAAGTATACCCGATTAATTATGATATCTAATAATTAAAGTATAATTTTCACTTTAGTTTTTAACTCGTCACTTTCATGAAAGTCTAATTCTTATTTTTATGAAAGTTTTTCGAAAAAAGCTTCAAAATTCAAAAGTTTTTGCCTCTCATATAAAATTAACTATGACTTACATGATTCATAATGTTTAAAATAAATTTCATTAATTATGATACATGATATTTAAAGCAAACTTAATTGCCACTTTTATGAAAGTCTTTAGGAAAAAGATCCAAAATTCAAAAGTCTTTACCTCTCATGTAAAATTAATTGTGACTCATATAATACATAATATTTAAAGTATATCTAATTAATAATGATACATGATAATTAAAGTATATTTAATTAATTATTTATATATGATCAAGTCTTAATTAATATTATAAAATGAGGAGTTTAGTTATGTCTCGAGATATAATGATGAAAATGACAAAAATATGATGGTTAAAGTGCTCATTAGTGTACCGACAAGTGACTTATCAACATTTGAGAGTGCTCTTTCACAAATTTCTTAAATTCCTTAACACTCTTAGCTTTTTTTATATATATATATAAAAAAAAGGTTTTTAAGTTATTTGCAACTATCATTTGCATAAACATTGCAACTATCATTTGCATAAACATTGAGTTTAATTTGCTTGATCTTTTTCCTAAAGATTTTCATGAGAGTGAGAATTAGACTTTACTTTAAATATCATGTTTCATAATTAATTAAATATATTTTAAATATCATGTATCATGTAGGTCATAATTAATTTTATATGAGAGGCGAAGACTTTTGAATTTTGAAGTTTTTTTCTAAAAACTTTCATGAAAGTGAGAATTAGAGTGACACTTAAATAGTAAAGTGAAAATTTTAATTTAAATATTACATATTATAATTAGATATATTTTAAACATTATGCATCATATGAGTGATAATTAATTTTATATGAGAGGCAATGACTTCTGAATTTTGAAGTTTTTCCTAAGAACTTCCATGGAAGTGAGAATTAGACTTTCATAAAAGTCATAATTAAGTTTGCTTGACTTGGCCTCACAAAATTAGGATAATGTTGTACACAAGAATTTTGTGCCATTCGGGAAACAGATTGACCGGCATTTCAAATTTCACAAGTTGACCAAGTTGAAATCCATATATAGCTTATAGCATGCTTGAACGTATTCACGTTACTACGGCACAAAATGTGATGGTTCCATAGGAAAGTTGCAGTCTGCTGTTTGCTTATAGCCTATGTGGTCTTATTCATGAGTTCAATTTTTGTCTTAACAGAAGCAAGAATTTCCAAGTTCGAAGCTATTCAAGATGCAAATCTTTTTAAGTTTGAATTTCCTCGTACATATTTTACTCCTATAGATAGAAATTATGACATGCCTGGGAAAATTGCTAAACAAGCATGGGATTGAGCGTCTTAATTACTTCTTCTAGCACGTATATATTCATTCATGACATGCTTTTGTTTGAGTTGTTTTTGACAGAAAGCCTAGCTCTTCACCGTCGAAATCTGAGGCCAATTTCCACTGATAGACCTGCCCCATTTGCAAATCCCTCAACGCATCAAAATCAGAATTGATGATATTGGTCAAATCATAATGCTGCAGAAGTAAAGTGGCTGCAACCAAAATGTGACCTTGATTTATCTTTTTGTTTAATTTTTCAATTTTTTGTTCCTTTTAACCATCAACATTCATAACAAGCAATCAGTGCAGTGGAGGAATGTCTTCTTGCTTGTAAGTTGTAACCCTCCCCACTTTGGAGCTTAGATGAAATTCACAGCAATTAATGAAGTCCTACATTCTCCCTAATTTGATAATTCTTGCCAAAAGTCTCTCATAGTGTCAGACGTTGAACCAAAATGAAAAGGAACAAAAAGATTAAAACTAGTTTTCTGTGCATTTTCAGCGTACACCTGGAGATACTGAAAAGTTAAAAATGGGTAAAGCAAGCTTTAAAAGTTTCGTAAGACAGAAATATGTTTTTCCTCCCTTTTTTTTTTTTTCTTTTTTTTGGGGTACCCTTTCGGATTACAATTAATTGGTAATGGGACATCTATATACATGCAAACAAATTTTATAAAGTTTAATTGAAAAAATATATAGATATGTTTTTACATTGTGGGATCTGGCCAAAGCTAATAACGAGCAAGATCCATAAAGGTTAAGAAATGATCTGACATAAAACAATTCTTCATGCATTAACTATGAGAGAAATCATGGAAGGAAGGGGAATCCTTCGTTATGGAACCCAAAACCAATAGGCATCCCCATGAAACCAAGAGGACTATACAACTACAATGTTATCGCAAGCTTTGATCCTCGTTGAAATTTGAGATCATTCCATCATCTTGATGATGGGGTAAAGTAAATTCAGGCACCTCCTCAATATCCTCTGTTGGCTGAAGAAACAAATAAATAAATAAATAAACGAGGAGTTAGAGGTAAAATATTATGTGGAGAACATAATTAGTCTATAAAGTCAAGACTTGTATATGCAGGAACAGGTAGTACCTGCCAGAGTTGCAGCAGACGCCATAGCAAAAAATCAATTATCATAACGAAGCAAAAAATCTTGCCTGCCCAACGACCACAAGGGAGGTACCTAATAAACAAGTATTGTTGTCATCAATGTTAAGAAAGCCTCAATCAACTGTCTTTGCCGACTCACCGGCCACTACAGCTTTACATTAAATTGCATCAATTTCAAGCAATGTTATATTGCAATTTTTTTTTTAAAAAAAAAAAATCAAGTTTGGATTATGGATATCTGATCTGAATACTGATTACAAAAAATCTCAGTTGCATACCGTGAGAGTCGTTCTAATAAATTCTGATCAGGGCACTTCAAAGCTCGGTCATAGACAATCTCTGTTCGTTTTGCAACATCATGCCAATCGTAGAGTTTCTTCATCTAGCATCCAACGCAACACAAACATTCAGCCATTATGAATAGTTACAATGAAATTCTCACGAAGAAAGAAGTTATTATGAATGGCTCACTCACACGACTATGCATCAGTTGCGGGTCAATATTTGGAAGTAGAGATATTGCCTTTCCAATTGCTCTTAACATATCACTAGGATCTGGTTCTGCAAGTACACTCATGTCCTCTGGCAGAACCTAACATCAAGAGAAGTAACAAATGAGCTGTCTGTATGATTTAGGATTACCAGAATTTCAATCCGTTAGCATTTCTAGCAAGATGTACAAAAAGTGACAAGCATATCTTATCATGTTAGCTAGATAGAGAAGAAACCTCTCATGATACATGCCTCAGGTACGCCTCCTACACGTGTACTGACTGTCAATAACCCACAACTAGCAGCTTCTAATATGGCTATGCAGAATGCCTCTGTCAAAGAACTGCCGATCAATTAATGAGTGAGACAATATTCAACAAAAACATAAGCGTATCTTGAAGCCAAGTGATGAAAGACTGTCCCAAAATACAATCTGCTTTTTGGGTGTTCAGGAGCTCATTTATTTGGCTGTCAACTTTCACCAAGTCTAATTTTCTTCAAACTTTATGACAGTTTTTAGATCCTTTGCCAGGTTTTATGTCATTTTATTTATAGTGGATTTTTTGAGAAAACAAACTTGACAAAACACACAGTTACTTGCTACTTGTATACATAAAAGAATCCTCTCCCAAAAATAGGCAGTATCACTTGCTCAAGAGCATATCTAATTGAAAAGTATCCATTCACCAGACTTGCAAAAGTGGTAACTTTGACACTTAAATGAGCCTTCAATTTATTGGTTAAGATGAATTTACATAAAAGGGCCAGGAGAATCCGGTGAAACAGGCAAAGGGAAAAAAACTCGCAACAGAAGGGCTGCTGTCTAGCTACAAGATAAGCCTTAAGCCAACATCTCTGAAAATCCATCTAAAACAGCTAAAAAGAGAAGTTTTTCCCCTTTCTTCAGCAAAACTGTAATAGCCTTACTTGTAATGATCAATTGCAACAATGGTCCTAATAGCTAAAACATATCTCCACCAAATGCTATGTGACTATTTGTATTTCTTCTTGAAGGCTAACACATCCAATGCAAAGAAAGATTGTCGAGCTACTATTAAATAATAAAAAAATGATTTAAAATTACAAATCCACAGAAACTCTGACCTGTTTAAAAATATATGGCCAGAAATCAAGACAGAACGTACACGAGCATGTGGTACAGCACCCAGCATTTCAACTCGATCTTGAAGAGAGTGTTTTTCCCTCATTTCTTCTAGCCTTACTCGCTTAGGTCCATCTCCTCCAACAATGAACCGTACCTTAATACATGCATATTTCTAAATGAATTGACTAGTAGCAATTAAAATAAGCACAATTTTGATTGCCAAAATACAGATCCTTTATCCACCAATGCACTGTGAATATGAAGAAGTAGGTCCAGGATTTACATCAATACAGTTAGTCCTAGTAATGCAGACCCACAATGAACATCAACCAGCCAATAGAAATATGGCATCTCAATTATGAAGCTTAATTCTATATGCAGGTTTGACATGTTAATGGCCAGAATAAGCAAGATATCAAAATACAGATGCAGCAAAGCACTCGTTGATGGTTCTATCAAATTGAACAAAAGTCAAAAGTAGATTAAAGAAAATGAAAATTTTTGTAATCACAATATTCATGCTGGAATTTCAGGAAATGGCAAGAGGGCATTTTCATGTAAATACATTCATTCAAGCAGCTCATGTAGCTATATACTTAAGGGGGAACTTAAAATGGCTGCAAAAGAGTTATCTCTACCTTTCAAAGTTAATATTATTAAAGGCGCATGCAGAATAACCCTGTGAAAGAGTTTCATCAAGAAAACAGAAAACTCATTTAGCGCTATCCCTTTCATTTCTTACTTCTCTTTGGCCCATACATAAATAGCTACTCTGACACAACAGTCATCAGGGGAGGAGGAAATGATGGAAAAAATTTTGACCAGTGGAAGAAATCCCATAATGTGATGCCTAAGTATGCTGGTTTGCACATCTGTAGGAGGTGAATATCCAGCTGATAAAGTAATTCAAGTGCTGCAAATGCATGAAAGCATGAAAGCAAGTAATTCTATGGACTCAACAACTCACATTAGGATACAAACGGCAAACTTCTGGAATGACTTCAACAAGCAAATCTGCACCCTTTCGATAAACCAATCTACTTATCACAACAATAACAATTTCATCATTGCCAAGCCGCTCTGGGGCTGGCTTGAACATAGCAGTGTCCACGGCATTTGGTATTACAAAGACCTTTTCTGGTGGTAGACCTGACCGTAGCACTGTGTTTTCCTTGCTTGTATGAGAAACACAGATGGCCTGGCTCACATCTGCTAAAGTAAACTGCAACACCTTGTTCATGTGAATGCTTCCAATATCAGCAAAACCATAGAGTGAATGATCAGTAAATACAACTCTATAACCCATGATGCGTGCGTGCATCAAGGCTTTATGACAAAGAGTTGAGAAAGCTTGATGCCCATGCACCAATGATATTTTTTCTCGAATGAGGATAGTCCTTATAATTGGAAGCGTCCCATAAACAGTTGGCAAGGTGTTCTGCATAAGAAATGGTCTCCATGGTACATAGTACACTTTAAGGCCACCAGTCATGTATCTCACCCCAGAGCGATTACCATAAGCATGAGTCATAACAACCACCTGAAAAATCACACAATACAAATAGATCATGCAATCAACCACATCTACAACCAACAGGGAAGTTTAATCTGATGCTACTGTTAGGTAGACAACCACATGAAAAGAATGAAAAGAAAAATGTTACAGAAACAAAAGAGAGGAAAGTCAAATTTCACTGATGTTATTTGTTCAAGAAGAAGGTACTACGATGTCTAAATAATTTCTTGTAGTCACTCTGTTTATTTTGAAAAACAAAATAACAATTTTTCTTTTTTTTAAATCTTTACCCAAACTATTCTTTCTTTTTCAATTGCTGCAGCCAGTAAGAGAACATTTTCAAAGCTGTCTCCCCTTGTCCTTACATTTTTCTTTTTTTGTTTTTATGACTAGTAGCAAACAGGTCTAGCAAGCAAGATGCAATTTCAAAAAAATTTGGCAATCTCTGACCTTGTGACCAAGCTTTAGCAAGCACTGTGACAGATAATAAATGTGGTTTTCCACACCACCGAAGTTGGGATAGAAAAAATCTGAAACCATTAGGATTTTGTGCTTCAGGTCAGCCATTAAGACAATCAATCACCTGCAGTATATAACAAATGATTAAAGGATGCATACTAAACAGTGATAACAGTATACAGAAGAAATGATACTGAAGCATTAATTTCCCGGTATTGATGCTGCCATTTCTCTATATGAAGCAGAAAGCAGATATTAACTTCGAACCTCCAACTGATAAGTTCAGAAATGACTGAGATCCATTCTTGATGCTTTAAATAGGATATACCACGGTTATCAGTCTTTCAATCAAAAGACAACCAATTAAAAAGGCAAAAGAAGCTTTGGCAAATACAGCTTGGAAGCATGGTAAATGTTTCAGTGACTTACTAACCATCATGTAGCCAAAGGTTAGCAATTATAACACAGATAACTAACCCTCAAAAGAAGTATAAATGGCAACTAAATCATATTACTTCAACCAGCTGAAAAATCTCAATCATTTGCTAAGGACTCATCTTAAATATAAGGTCCACATCAAGAAAGTAAATAATTATTTGTATGTGTGTCTGGTAGGGGTGGCAGGTTATCATTTATGTAAGGCTAGAATTTTATAGTGCAACAAAACAACACTATGATTAACTTCTGCAATTTGAATTTTCTATAGAATCTAGACACTGCATACTAAACATTCTGTTTTAGTTGTTAAAAGAAAACTTTATAAGAACAAAGGAGAGAACTTGCCCTCATGCAAAGAAGTTGGTCTCATCACATTCTGATGCAGGATGGACTTGAGAGGAGCAGGCGAATTCAACTAGTAGAGCTGGAAGATAAACATCTCTGAGTCCTTGAGAGTCGAGACAAAGAGGAAGACCTCAGAGGAGCGTCCTGCATCATGTGGAAACACTTGAAATTAGTAATTTATATCTTAAACATCTTCTAGGCAAGCATCAAGAGTATGAAATATTATTGTGATACACTATGTTCACTGTGGCAGCCAAACAAAAATTATTGTGGAGGCAATTAGATAAGAACTAATAGGATGGACATCTCCTACCAATTAGTAACCATGATGAACAATATCGAAAAAATTTCAACAAAAAAAAACTCTTCTTGCATCGTAGAATTTACTAGACACAGACATTACTAAAACCAATTCCACTATCAGGAAAAGAAACCATGCAGTCTATCCATTTTCAAAATTCTCCTGAGGGCTGAATAAAGTTTCAGGGAGAATACTATAGAATATTGTAATCCTACAGAAGAGGATATGTCGCTATCTACAAAATATCATAAATGCATTATTGCCTTGTAGTAATCTAATTTCCATTAAATGTACTCAAAAACAAGCTTCAAGAAAACACAATTACTGCACACAATCATCATTTGTTGGTGGAATGAGAGACTCTACAATGTGCTTCCTGGCAGAACATTCCTTGTTCATCAATAAGGATCTCTTCACATCAGCCAAAAATAACAAGACTTCAGAGAGAAGATCTCCGCAAATAGAGAGGGCAAATACGGGAAATAAACAGAACATTTCCATGTTAAAAGCCTCAGAAAAATAAAGGATAATAATAACACCAATAATCAACTAAGGAAACATAAAACAAATTACAGCTTCTCCTTCCTTCCTACATTTAATGGTTACCAAAAATTATAAGCACTGACCAGCAATGATAAACCAATTAGCAAGAGAAGAACAGGATAAGAAGTTCCAATAATATTATGTAGTTCAAATGTAGCTCTAAAATGTTGGGCAGTTGCACTTTACACTATCTTGAACTTGAAATCAAAATGACAAAACAATAGCAGAAGAAGCAATGGTTATTTATGAAATTTCAGTTGCTTGGGGAAAAAAGAAGATTTCATTACACAAACTCCTATAATCAATGGCAACCTAAATCAGGGCCACCAAAACTTTTGACTTGGATCACAAATAGAACAAATAAACACCCAAGAGGATTGTAATCTCAAGGAACTATAGGTTTACTATTGTAGGCCTCTCTTACTTCAAGCACATCAGGACAGTCTCAGTTTATGAGAATGTCAACTGGTCAGCAACTGACTTATTACAATGGCCACCAAGGTGTTTGACCATTTGGTTCCATCGCTGCATAGATGTCCAGACCTATGCTCTAGAAGATTGTCCCAGTCAACATCTTTCATGCAGCAGGCATCCAAGTCATAGAGCTCCAACAGCAGCCAATAGTAATCTCTATAAAGCCATTTACCTTCAGCAACTATAGGTGATGTTAATTGGTCACACCATTTTTTGCAGCAGAAAGCATCAGTCCTAGTTTCCAGCTTCTCACAAATTGTTGTAAAACTAGTATTATCTCGTAAAATTCCATGCTTTGTTTTCTTTTCATCAAAAGTTTTCATGCGCAAATCCAAATTCACTAAATCAAATAAAGACTGGTACTCATATTGGGACCATTTTCCTTTCTTCGTATTGAGCAGTTTTATTCTATGTGATGTATCCTTTACATGAAACCTATGTTTGCCCAAGGCATCTGCCAAGGTCTTCTAATCTGATCCATGTTTTCCATGAAACTTATGGATCCATACTATTCTGGGGTCCAAGAAGAATTTTGGTCCCTCTCAAACAAGATATGGATTCGATAGTATATACTCTGATGAGTCCTCCAACATCAAGTTGCCCCAATCTTATTTCAACAATGTTTAACCAAAGGGTGCTTTGTAAATTCAGCACACAGACCTTCTGCACCTTAAGCACGAGCATTGATATAGTTAAAGCACCTTCTTTAACCATCTCATCCTGCTGGTGCAAGAATTGCTTCCCTCATACTAAGCTGCTTCCTCAACGGTCTTCTCATCACTAAGACTGTCAGATGAAGGGAAAACCTCTGCATCTTTGCAAAAACTTGCTCTGTTAGATGTCACTTTTCATGTAGATTTTTCTGGCAGACCAGTAGTCTCGACATTTTTTCAATTTGGATTGCTCTGTCACTGCTTTTTTCTTCTGAACCATTTTTTTTCACTAACTTGGCCTTCTTCTTTCTTTTATTTCCGCATTCTGAATTAACAGCACGTCCCTCACTCTTCTCCTTCTTCTTAATTGCACGACTCGGAGATAAACCCTCTCCTCTACTCACAAGCAATGAATCTTTGCAACTTTCATCCTTTAAGAAGCTGATTTCATTCTTTGTTTTCTTTCTCTGGTGCTCTCTCCTCTGCACTATTTTGCCACCCATGACCTAGTGACCTTCCTTGAACCTTTTGAAATAGCTACAGTCGAGCCCTAATGCAAAGCTGAAAACAATGTGAGTATATAACAAAAAGTCAGACAACCAATGAGCCCATTCACCTAAACATTCTTAAAACCAATGCAACCAACGGGCTGATTCCATTTCCCTCCAGAGCATCATCGAATAACACCATGAATCAAACACGCACTCCAAGCAACCATCCCAAATCAGTTCACTTTCCTCAAAAACGCATCACGCACATCAAAATAACATCACCTCCAATTGTTGAACGAGAACATTCTGCTACAGCGATGCCAAACACGCAATTCACCTCTAAATGTAAGATTGTATCAGCATGCACCACATGTCTAACCACTATCCGCCCTATGTTTTACTCAGAGACCATGGGGCATCTCAGGATCACTCAAGTCCTAACCCTTGGCCTCCAAGATAAGAAGAGAGAGCAAAATTCGGTGTGCAAATGTTTGGAAAATGGCAACGCTCAACTCTACTTTATTTGTAAAATTAAGCATCAACAATATAAAACACTTCCAGAAAGTTTCAAGAACTACATTCCAAAAAAGAAGAGAGTTGAGCAACAGTTACACAAATTAGGAATTGCGCATAGATTCAGCGCCGGTAATTCGGAAATTGAGAAGTAATCTAGCTTTTCTATACTTAAGATGGATGGATAAAGAGATATTAATGCACTTACATCGATTTGAAACACTTTTGTTATTCTAGAGAGAGACTCCAACTTCACCCTCCTTAATTGTTCACAAGTTAATAGATGTAAGCCTGAGCAATCTCCAGTTCAATTCCTTACAAACAGAATTAATAGGTGGGGCGGAGTGATCTTCGCTAGATTTTTCTGCTTCCTTCTTTTTCGCTGGTGGCCAGATGATGGAGGCAACCAGAGGAAACTGGAGTTGGGCTGTAACCTGTATAAATGGAGGGTTTACGAAACTCGAATTCGGATCCTTCTTTTTCTGCTTCCTTCTTGTTTCTTTCGTTTTCTGTTTTTAAAATTTTAACCATTCTTGCAACTAAAATTCATATAAGTCCCCCCTAAAAATATATTTATTTTACTTAGACCCTTTTTTACTTTAAATTTGAGAGCATCCTCATAAATTTTCCATATTGTAAAAGTTTAACCTAAAATAGTATATTTATTTTGTTTCGCCACACATTTGTTCTTTACCTTTTTCTCTTATCCTGATAATTCTCTGTATTGTTTTTTTTTTTTCTTTTCTCCTTAAGATTTCCACTTAAATCTTGTTCTTCTTTCTTTCTCCTCATTATTTCCTTTACCATTGATAACCTTACGTTAACTTCAAACTTTCAAGGGCTTCTTTTAGAAGACATGGAAAAAAAATGCACTTGTGTCACAGCATTTTTTTTTTCATAGTTTTGGTAAGACAATTAATTATATATTAGGATAGGTTATGATAAGGTATTGTTTGGTTATGAAAAATGAAAAACTCATAATAAAAATTATGAGAATCAAAATGAAAATTAAAAAATCCAAAGAGTACAATGGATATTTATTTTGTTATTGAAATTTCTATCCGTTTTGATTAGAAAAAAAAATATCCAACAAAACATTAAAAAAAAGCCTAAAAGACGTGGGATTCTTACTCGTTCATAATTTGTTCACTCTTATACGAGTTAAAGAGGTGTTTGATAATCTATTTAAGTAGCTTAAAAAATTAAATTGTAGTACTTAATATTAAAAGTTTGTTTGATAACTTAAATAATCTCATATTAAAAATTTAAGTTCAGTCAAAATCTACTTAATCCGATAAGTTAAAGTTTTTAACTTATTATTTTTTAATTAATACGCTCGATTGAAAGATTTTGAAAACTTTTTAAATATGACTGTATAATCCTCATATATTCTTATAACTCTAACTATACAAATCAATTGAGAAACGATTTTTACTATCTTCGTTGTCGAAACAAAGAAGATCTTCTCCATTATCTATACTTCGATCCCATCCTACCCAAGAACAACTGACCTTGAATAAACCTGTAGTCCTGCGTTATATAATCAAGTTTTGGGGATTAGGGACGATGGCATCATATACTTGAGTCCGTATAATGGATTAGTATTGTCTGTGCTCACTGCATATCCTGTCTATCGTCAACTAATCCTTTGGCCATTCAATCCTAAGAGTGTACAACAAATATGGAAATTGATGCTGTAGTTACTCGTCATGCTCCTCTGGTCGTATATCAAGGCATTTGTAGCAGCTAAAATAAAGGACAACAAATTATATATTGTTGTCCAGTAATTTGCACTTGCTTAAATATACAGGAGTATCAAATAAAGTTGCTCTTTTTCAGCAAGCTATAGCTAGTTAACATTTCAACGCTTCGAAGATAATCGGACTTTACTGTACATAAAAGAAAAGAAAAGAAAAAAATCCAACAAATTATATACTGTTGAATTGATTCTTTGTAAAAGACTCCTTAAAAAAAATGTAATGGATATGGATTTAAAATAGATAGATAACAATGTCTCAAGGGATATAAGCGCACTTCAAAATCATTAAGCATCAACAATCGATTGAAATAATGAATAATTTTTTTATTTTTTTAGAAAAAAGAAAACAAGAAAAAGCAATTAAATAAAACTGTACCAATAAATCATAATTTATTGTCGAAATGGGTGCACATATAATGTATCCTGGAAGCCATTAATAGACCAACTAAACAATACTACTAGATCTACATTGACTCGTAGGGCAACGGCCTAGTGCTTCTCTGGTCCAGCTATGTCGTCAATGGTTATGTCTCGTGCCACAAAACCATCACCAGCCACCGCTGCAATTAAATAGTCACAAAGTTAACCACAAGGGGTGATGCAGTGACAAAGACTTGGTATTAAAGGATTTACTCTTTTTGTGATTTTGGGTTCGAGTCCTGATTATTTTTTTGTTGATCACTAAAGCGCTTACATGATCGTTAATTTTAAGACCTAATAAATTAATCGAGGTACATATAAACCGATTCGGACATTCGCATTATCAAAAAAAAATATAGTCACAAAGTAGCTTAGTACTATAATATAAGACGAACCATTTTAAGATATGGTTCAATTCAAATTGTAATTAGCATTTCTTAAATTAATCAAGTTCAACCGAACGATAAATGCTTAATTTTTAAATCAACAATATATTGGGGTTAAAAAAAAGTCTTAAGCCATTGGCAGACAGCGAATGTATTAACAAGAAAAGGAGAAAAGATATGGGCCACAAAATAGGGACTGCGTAAATTCTTTGAAGCATAATTGACAAAAAAGAAATCACCCTTTTTTTTTTTTTTTTTACATGAAACTTCTCCGAAGAGACAAATGATAAACTTAAAAAGATTTTGAAACTTACCAAAAGTTGCAGATCTGAAAGTAGTCGAACCATCACCCAGACTTCTGCTACTAGAAATGAAAGTGAAATCAGTTCCATCTCCAAGTAGAACAATGTTGGTTTTGTAACTTGGGATTTCCACATTCTCGTATACTCCTTCTTTAACACGAATGATTACCCTATCATAACTATTATTTGGAGCAAAGTTTATAGCATCAGTGACGGTATTAAAATTTTCAGCTCCATCTGTAGCTACTATAAGCTTCCTAATAGGGTCATATTCATAATCACTTTGCAAAATTTGACAATCCTTCTTCGACATATATTTTAAAAATCTTAAAAGGCGGCGATATTACTTATTTATTTATATACACAAACATATGTATGTATATATTTTTATTTATATTTAAAAATATCATATTATAATTATAAGATCAAAATTATCATATATATATATATATATAGCTTAATATATTTAGCAATAATACTTATCAAACAAACTTATTATATTCAGTATTTAATTTTTAGTAAATTTCAAACAATTTATCAATAACATATTCAATATTTAATTATTCAACACTTAAATTTAGTACTTAATTGTAGTTCCCTATAGATCCTAACTCATGTCCACCGTATTCGAATTTTCAGCCTTTCTCAGTCGTCCGTTCTCTGCTCTGTCTAAGTGTCTCTGTGTGTGCAGTTCATTTGTGTCATTTCTTGCATTATTTTTTATTTATTTGTCTCCCTTTTCTAAAAAAAATTCTATGCTTAATTGCTTCTTTTTCACTTAGTGTTGCGTTGCTACCAGGTTACGACTGTATCCTCTCTTTTTCGGTTTCCTTTCACTCATTTTATGATCATTTTTGTTAATTTTCTCATGATTACGGGTAAATTGATAGCACATACCCTAAATTGTCATAACCCAATAGTTTAAGGGTAATTTTTTTCATTAAATTGCTAGACTAAGTTGTTTGGTTGACAAATAGCTAGAATTAGAGTAAAAAAGTCGTTAATATTTCTAATACCCTTCAGTTTTCCTTTCTCTCCTTTGATAAATAAATTATATTGATTCGGTTCTATCCTTTTCTTTGAAACTTAACGAATTTTTTTTAATAGTTTGGTTAAGGAAAGAAAGATAATATATATATATATATATATATATATATATATGAATAAAATTGTCATTTTGGATTATTGTTTGATTAAATATATATGTATTTATTATAACTTTGATTTTTTTTTAAATACTAGGGGTTACTGTTTACTGTCTCAAATTATTTATTTATTTTTCTAAAATCTTGTCCGTACAAGCTTGGTTTTTTTTTTTTTGGCATTTTTTCTTTTTTTTCATCAATTTATTTTAATTTTTATTATTATGGATGATTGGGCGAAAATTATGGATGATTGATCATCATTTTTGGGGTTTCTCAACCACCTGGAAAAGAAAGACATACATATGATATGTTTTTATATTTTAAAATGAGCATATATTTCAGATTAGATAACTCTTATAATTTAAGATTTAGTTTTTCAATTTGTCATTTTTTTATAAAAATTTTGATCTGATTTATTTTTTATTAAATTTTATTTATGGACAAATATGATTTTTTTTTTATCTACGTATAGATTTTGAAATAAAATTTTAGAATATGATTATTTTTTTTAATAAAAAGATATAATTATATGATTAATTCTGAGAATTTTTGAATCATAACTCAACATTTTAGGTCTATGTATGAGGATTGACCATGTATGGCTTAAAAAAAAACTATTTCTGAAAAAAAGAAGAAGAAGGAATTCATGTGTTTTATTTGCTACTTCTTTATATGATTAAAATTTATTAAAAAATTATTTTTAATAGTTTTTATTTTAATCTATTAACTACAAATTCATTCAATATATTACTTATAAAATAACTATTTTTAAATTTTTTTTTATTTTGTGTTGCAAACTCTAAACTCACTCCGAATAATTATTGTGTAAATAAGAAATATATTAAAGTTTTGGTTTATTAGAAATTAACTATGTATTAATACGTAACACAAAACACAAACCATTTACTATTTATTTATTTATTGACATTATGGAATCAATTTCTTTCAAATGAAATAATTAAGATTTTTTTTTTTTTTTGCAAAACTAGCTAATTATTCAAATATAACTTTTTATTCTAATACTATTGATAATTTTATAAATAATTATATCAAAATCAAATGTATGGATTTTCAAAAACTAATATTCTCATCAAATATTAAATAAAAATAAAAATAAATTTTCATTTGTTTATTTTAACCCAAGTTTTTGCATCTAACGTTACTTTGTTTTAAGGACAAAATTTTATAAAAAAATATTATGAATTTTTTATTTCATATTAATTTTTTATAGATAATTACAAGCTTTTAATTAAGAATTCATGGATAAAAAATATAAATCATGTTATTTTTTTGGTGCATAAATTATGAAAAACACAAAAAGAAAAAGTTAAACATAAAATTTTGATTAAAAATTATAAAATTGAATGATTTTTTTATTTTTATTTAATATATTTTAATGAACTCGTAATATAGCTCAAAGCATTAAATTTGAATAATTTTTTCAAATTTTTTCACATATTTTATTTAATCTGGAGTGTCACTTGAGAAGAAAAAAAAACTACTTTAAATCAAAATAACAAAGACTTTACCTCTCGGCCAAAATGGAGGCTCAACCGTTAATTCAAGAATCCAATCAACTTCAAACTCTTTCTTTTCAGCAAATCATCTTACAATGGATGGATATTATCTAAGTAAATTTTATTTGAGGTAAAATTGATAAAATAAAATAAAATAAAATAAAATAAAATTTAAAACTGAAACGATAATGATGTAACATGACTAGATTGAAGCTTCAGAACATGAGAGAGAAACTTCTACTAAAAGGAGAGGGAGAAGCTCATGCCACGAGGAGAGAAAAAGTAATTATATTTTCACATTACGTGAACAAAACGTACCAAACATGCGTAAATAATTAGAAAAAACCAACCGGCTCATCACCTACATTTTTAAGTTTAAAACAAGATTGACCAATCCTTCACGCGCTATTGTCCGACCAAGCCATTTCTTCCTCTCTACACTAGGAGAAGAAAAAAAAAAAAACGGAGATAGAAAACTGCTAAGCCAAAGATCAAAAGAATGGGTGATCACATAAAAAAGGGAGAAGAACTCGAGAAGAAAGCAGATAAGAAGATCAACGGCTGGGGTTTACTGGGCTCCAAATACGAAGATGCTGCTGACTTGCTTACGCAATCTGCCAATCAATTTAAACTCGCTAAATCTTGTAATCAAATTCCACTTCCTTTTTTAATTCATTTAGTATTATTTTGTAATTAACATTTTTTTTCCTCTTTTTACAGGGGATAGAGCTGGGTCAGTTTTTATGAAGCTGTCAAATTGTCATTTAAAGGTACGATAAATTTGATCGTTGTCTGTTAATTGTAATTAGTATTTGTGATAATTGTGTTATTAATTATATTTACAGTTGGATAGCAGACATGAAGCTGCTAGTGCTTATATAGATGCTGCAAATTGCTTCAAGAAAACATCAACTAAAGGTGCTTGTAAAAAAATTAATTTTGTAGTTAACGATGAGATTAAAATCCCATTATTTTGTAGTTTCCAAATTCAAGATTAAGCTGGTGTTGCTCTTGACAGGGGCTATGTCGTGCTATTTGCAAGCTGTGGATATTTATGTTGATATGGGAAGGTATAGCATGGCTGCAAAGTATTGCAAGGTATGGTTTGTAGTAGTGAGTACTTTATTAGTCATTTATTTATTTAGTGATCATTGGCTAATTTGTTTGATCATTATCGGGATTTTGGTATAGTTTCCCCTGATTTTGATATGCAAGCAACACACTATCTGTATTTTGTAGTTTTTCTTTTCTCAGATAGCATTAAAGCTTAAGTTATGTAGTTGATCTACATAACTAATATCTGTTATCATTTATTTATTTTTTTCTGATTCAGGAAATTGCTCAGTTGTATGAGCTTGAGCAAAACAATGAGAAGGCTATTCTGTATTTTGAAAAAGCTGCTGATTATTTTGAATTTCAAGAATCGAGCACCCTTGCTAACTCGTGCAAGCTGAAAGTTGCGGAAATTTCTGCTCAATTTGAGCAGTAAGTGAATTCTGCCAAACAGCAAGGCATTAAGTTTTCCTGATAATATACCATTGCAATTTGGCTTTTCTTTCTTTTCTGCTATTTGCAATCTTGTGGATATGCAGACAACATGATTTCTATCTTGTGGATAAACTGATTCTGTTTCACCTTGTTTTTCAGGTATCAGAAAGCAATTCAGATATATGAAGAGATAGCACGACAGTCACTAAAAAATAACTTGCTAAAATATGGAGCACGAGGACATCTTCTCAATGCTGGTATTTGCCAACTTTGCAGAGGAGATGTTGTTGCAGTAACCAATGCATTGGAGCGATATGAGGTTCAATTTCTACAAGAAAGGAATATATCTAACATGTATGTGTGTCCATACCAACTTGTAGGTGCATTTCTGAAAAAATAAAATATCAATTGGTTGTGCAGGATTTGGATCCGACGTTTTCTAGAACTCGCGAATACAAATTTTTATCAGTAAGTGGATGCTTCTCAACTATCAGGCTTGCTATTTACTATGCATTACATGTAACCAGTTACTCTGTGCTATATTAATTTCATTTTTTCAGCTTTTTGAGTTCATAGACATAATAGCATACACCTAGTATAGTGAAGAAATCAGTTGAACTAAAGAAAATTAGGCAACAGGTTACTGGTGAAATGATGACCTTGATGTGTCATTTTGCTTGTGCTTCTCATTGGTTTTAATTTTAACTTTTCAGGATTTAGCTACTGCAATTGATGAGGAGGATGTTGCAAAGTTCACTTCCATTGTCAAGGAGTTCGATAGCATTACCAAGCTGGTACATCTTTTGTTTTTGGCATTTAAGTTTAATTCTTGCAGTTTCTTTCTTTTGGAATCTGAAGTTATATTAATCATTTGCAACCTAAATTTGGCAAAGACTGCACTGATCTCAACATTATATTTTGTGAACATGACTGAGTTGGCCCTGACCTCGAATGTAATGTCATGTAGGATTCTTGGAAGGCCACACTTCTGTTGAAAGTGAAGAATGCCCTGAAGGCCAAAGAACTAGAGGATGATTTGACCTGAAAATTCCAGTGTTTCTTGTTTTTTGTTAATTCAAAAAATTGCTATCAGAGTTGTATATATTAATAGCTACATATTCCTTTAAATGTCCAGGTCCATTGCTTTGTACTTGGACTGCAATAAATAAGCTTGCATCTGTATGCAAAATTAATAGATAGAACTGAGGGCTGTCTTGACACCCTGTACAATTCGTATGTGAAATTCGTATGTGAAAGTAACTAATTCTTTTATCCTCACCATAAGCCTCAACTCAAACCTTTTTTATAGAATGCAATCTTGACAGCCTAATAATTGAATTACGGCAATTTGCCCTTTTTTTGTAAAAAAAAAAAAAAAAAAAAAAAAAGCTGTTGCATGCAACTGGATAGAAAGGGTAACTCTGGTAATTCCATTTCGAAAAACACTCTATAATATATAGGCCTGCACTTCGTTTACAAGAGGGCCTACCTTAACAAGTGAGGCTTGGAACCCTAAGCCTACTGTGGGTTCCAACAGACCTGAGCCCATAAGCAACCCCAAGTTCACCTCGAACAAGTTTCCCAGCCCAAAGAAAGTGAAAAGAGAAATAGAAAACGGAAACATGGTATATAATTCACAAGAAATTTCCAATTGGATCCTCCTATCAGATCGGTTGCTTTTGTCGGTCTAAAATGCCTATTTAGGCAATTAAACGATGTGATTTTCAAAGTTTCTACTGAAAAAAGGTTGGGCTAATGAGTCTTTTTAGAATAGCCAATAGAATTTTTTGAAATCTCAATCAATCTCCACTTTCTTGTTTACATTTTGCTAACAATATTTGGTGTTATTCTCAAAAAAATAAGAAGAAAAATAAAATATCAATAGTTGGCGTTAAATATACTATAGGAAGTTTCAATTTCAATAGCTATTTTCCATTAGTTACAGCCTGTGTAATCTAAAATTTCTCCTCGTACATGTAACTCTTGCCATTGTTAAGAGAGAGAGGGAAAAAAAAAAAAAAAACTCTTGCCATTAAAAATTCACCACAACTAAAAGCAAAAAATTGAATCAAGAATTTATGATAGATTAGAGATCTTTTTAAGGATTAAATAATTTGAAAACCTAATTGAAAATTGGTATATTATATACGTTGGATACTTGAGGTCACCTATAGAAAAAGGGAAACTAATATATTCATCCCCTAACTATCACTCCATTCCCAATTGTGTTCCAAAAAAAAATTTCTCAATTGGGTCCCTCATTTATTGGGAAATTACCTAATTAACTCTCATCTTAAATTCTTCCTCTAAGATCATTAAAACCCAAGGACCTATACGTCTTACAATGATACCTGTTTTGTGATAAATTGATTAATGCTTGATAGGTGCGGGATCCAATCAGGAAGTGTTTTGTCTAGGACTTAATTGAGAATCACATAATAGTTGGAGGACAACAAATATGTACTTTTCCCAAAATTAAAAAGTGAAGAAACACAGCCAAAATTCGGTATCTTAGTGCCATCACCTTTATGTCTGCTCCAAACTTTTGACCAAATAGCGAAAGAAAAAGCAACAGAGAACTAGGATGTAATTTTACGAATCTTGGGATGCTGACAACCTAAATTTTGAAAAAGAAAGAAAAGGACAAGGACAAGAAAAAGGATAAGACATATAGATACTGTTACCTAAATTCTGACATCTGCTTGACCCTTGTAGTGCTGTATTCTTTGGGATTGTTGTCAGGCCGGACTTGATAAAGCTTTGGTTTTTTTTTTCCACCTCTTCATTAATGTTTAGGCAGCAAGAAAGCACCTGTATGAGCAACCCTCAGGTACTTTTTTAGCTAGCATTGCTAAATTTTTGTTCTTTAAAATTATTCCATTCTCTAGCTTACTTTCTGAGTTTATTCTTAAACCTTCCTTGTTACACTGAATTGTCTTAAAAGCTTTTTGGGCTTCAGTTCTTGTGGTTATCAGGGACTTGCTTTAATGTGTTTGTCGATTAGTTGCTAATCTTGGTATTTCAGTGTAATTTTCATTCACATTATTAATTCTTATGAGAAAGTTTATGGGTTCTAGCTTTTTGGTGAGATTTGAAAGAAATTCGTAATATGATTATTGTTCGAGTTTATATGGCTTTCAGGGTCTTTTGAAACATACAAAGAAACTGATTGTTGATGTATTAAAGTAGTTAACCCTCTCTATGGGTTCAAGAAAGGTTTGTTTTATTATGTTTTATCTGCTACTCGTGTTTATTTTTCAGTGGTTTCTATATTGCTAAGCAATTCAATTCAATGTGCCATTGTAATGATTGGTGAAACTGAAATTTTTGGACAAACTCGACTTTCCGTTTTCTGTAGTCGTTAAAGCTTTCGTTTTCTGGATTTGATTAGAAGGTTAGAATGCTGTTTCTTGAGCTGAGCTAGTTTAGTGTATTATACTAGTGATATTAGACAAGATATTTTTTGTTATTGGCTTGATTTGGAATCTGATTAGTCCAATGTGTTAACTTGTACTTTTGAATAGGTTTTGTTGGTGCTCTTTCAGTATCAACTTGATATGGGTTTTGAAATAATTTTGTGATGAAAATTGCAGGTGATGAGCTTTAGCCTTGTTTAGCATTCTGGACTTCAGCAGTGTTGGGCATCACTGTATAAACGACGTTCAATTTTAGGCTTGTGAAATCAGAGACACAAGAACACAAGAAATTCTAGAAGAGTAGCTCTGTGGTAAAATGGCTTCAAATAGTAATGGAAGAGGCTTGGCAGAGTTTAAGCAAGAGTTACCAACAAATCTGACTGAAAATGATTCTAAGGGTAATAGTGACAAGTATGCTGTTCTTGATGTTTCAACTTCGCGTAAGGGACTGCTGAGCGATGACAGACTGAGTATGGAGAAACAAAACGCATTGAAAGTTGTTCCAAGTAGGCTAAACATACTGAAATTAAGTTCCAATGGCGATTTATCTTCTCCTTCAGCTAAATTCAAGCAGATTGTAGAGGAAAGAGATGAAATTTCACGTTCTGTACGTTCTTCCACTAGCCAAGGATTTCGAGGGCGTTTTAACGGATTCATAGGGCAGAAAATTGATTGGGAATCTTTATGGAGCATCAGCAGAATTTGGATCAAGAATCCCTTTAACATGGTGCTTTTTTTATGGATATTTTGTGTTGCAGTCTCTGGAGCAATCCTTTTTCTTGTAATGACAGGGATCTTAGACACTGCCCTACCGAAGAAATCACAGAGAGATGCATGGTTTGAGGTCAATAATCAAATCCTCAATGCTCTCTTTACTCTTATGTGTCTGTACCAACACCCAAAGCGATTCTACTACCTTGTACTTCTGATTAGGTGGAGGCCGAAGGACATTACCAAACTCAGAAAAATATACTGCAAAAATGGCACATATAAACCACATGAATGGGCTCACATGATGGTAGTGGTTATGTTGCTCCATTTGAATTGCTTTGCTCAGTATGCTTTATGCAGTCTTAATTTGGGATATAGAAGATCGGAACGACCTGCTATAGGTGTTGGTATCTGCATCTCTGTTGCCATTGCGGCTCCAGCAGTGGCATGTTTGTACACCATTATCAGCCCCCTTGGTAAGGAGTATGACTATGAATTTGATGAGGAAGCACAGAGTCAAACTCTGACAAATGGCACTAGCCATCTTAACTGCCGCATGTCACTGGAGAAGAGATTCTCATTTGCATCGAGAGATGAACAGAGAATTGTTGAGTATGCCCCTGAGTGGAGAGGGGGATTGTTTGACATTTGGCACAACATTCGAATAGCATACCTTTCTCTTTTCTGCAGTTTTTGTGTCTTTGGGTGGAATATGGAAAGACTTGGATTCGGGAACATGTATGTTCACATTGCCACTTTCCTCCTCTTCTGCACAGCGCCATTTTGGATTTTCAACTTGGCTGCCATCAACATTGACAATGAGGGTGTCAGAGTGGCTCTTGGATTAACTGGTATCATGCTTTGCTTGTTTGGTCTACTCTATGGTGGCTTCTGGAGGATCCAAATGAGAAAGAGGTTCAATTTACCAGCAAGTAACATATTCTGTGGAAAACCAGCCATTGCAGATTGCACACAATGGCTTTTTTGTTGTTGGTGCTCCCTTGCCCAAGAAGTTCGCACAGCTGACTTCTATGATATTGTTGAGGACAAGTTTTGCTGGAAACAAACAAGTGAGAGTAAGCAGCCCACACTCTCCCCACTGCCCCGAGAAGATGGAGTAGTTCAGTTCATATCTAGCCCAACTTCATTTCAAAACAGTCATAGACTGCCCACGCTTGGGGCTAGTCACTCTCTAAGTCCAAGCAGACTTTCAAAAGATCATTATAGTCCAGGCAGGCAGTTTATGAAGGTGGAGGAGGATTTTTCCATGAAAGATGCTGCTGACAATTTTAGGAAGCCACCTGCTTTGTCCTCGATACGAAAAGAATTTACCAATCAAAATATATTGAGGGAAAACAATCACTTTTAGCACTTTTGCAGAGAAAAACCATGTGCTTTGGCTTTTGATTAGGAGATATATACGCAACGGCACCGCTAAGTTTCAAAGATTCATTTTTTCGCTATGCATATTGATGCTACCTAATGCGTTGTATTGTGTCTACCTCTATGAGTGCATTGTATTTTTTCTTATCTAGTAACCGAGATCCATCGCTTCCAAGTTTTACATCTTGCATGTAGTTCGATTCTCTTGGCTAACTTTTTGGCATTGTCTTTTTGCTTGACGAAACCTATTGTTCAAAGGTTAAATGAACTGCAGTAATTGTGTTGGTTCATCGGTTTCCAAAACATATAGGACGTCCTCATTCTTTCTTTTGCATCCTTTTGTACAGACCTCTCTATTGCTAAAGAAGTATATCTCCAGGCTAAATGATCAAGAGATACTTCTTTCGAATAATCCGCGTTCAGGAGTGGGGGAACCAGTCACCAACCTCAAAGGCTGCAAACATTTTAAAATCTCAATCTGTTGCATAAATTCGGAAGTCACGAATCTTAGAATTGCTTATATGGTTGCTTCAGCCGTTATTTTCTGCATAACTTGTAGTATCTGAAGCTTGATTTGTGTTTTCCCGTGGGAAGGCAACCTCATGTATGACTTTTGCTAAAGCCATCAAACTTCAGCTAAATGAACTAGAATGCTACATTACGAAATAGCAGTATCTGCAGGTAAACAAAATACTATGCGTGGAGGTAAATTGACTTAATTAATATCTTCTGCTCTATGATTAGATTGAATTAGAGATAGCAGCGGTTCTGCTTTATTAGCAGACATGAGTAGGACTAAGCTTGAATTAATATGTCAATTAATGTAGAAAATCTGTTCTTTATACACTTGCATGTTACTACCCGTCTCTGGACTCCCAACCAGAGACCTAATAAATACCATGCCGGTGCTTAAGAAGGTAGAGTTGTGTCGTTATAGTATGAGTGGAGAGAAAAGGACGTGCAAGAACTCCCTTTGCATGGTGTTGGACCACTCAGGCACCATTTTACCAGGTCATCTTATGTATTTTTCAGGTCCTTATTAGACAGTACTGCTTTTGAAGTAAGAGCACAACAACCCAGTTACGTGAATATTCATCCAGTAAGAGACGAGGTAACATAATTTGACTCCATTATATGGTATGAGTTCAGAGATATGTGCAGGGGAGGGTTTAAATTATGCCAGAAAAACAGATCAGTTTAACTTAAGCTAATAGATACACAACATATGATTTTCAGTTTTTCTTGCTTTATTACATGTAGGTCCTTTTCCCTTTCATGCAATAATGTCCCACCTGCTATAGAGGTACTAGCCCCCTAAATTCCCAGAATCAGGCCAGGCAGTGAGCGGTTAAAAACGTCTTTGGGGTGGCTCTGCCACAAGGTGGTGTTCTCATGTCTGATTTCCCAACCATGTGGGCTAATATCCTTCACGGTGAGCCATGTATTGAAGTACTCTCTAAATCGTGTGACCACACCATCTTTCAAGGTCCATACATGCACCCAGTAAACTTGTGCACCTTCCCAGCCCTCTACAATCACACAATCACCAATGACTTCGATGCTTCTTGGCTCGAACCTGAACTTGGTGTGGCTGGACTCCCCGGTGAGCATTCTCATCATGTGCTGGCATTGTGGAGGTCCATGGAACCACCATTCTAGGTCACTAGCTATGAGTTTGGCCACTGTCCCCGTGTGACCATTTGATAGGCCCTTGTATAGCGCATCAACAATAACCTTGTTTTGCATTTCTACACTCAAATTGGATTCCGGAATAGGGGATTCGGTGCCATTGGCAGACATTTTGTGGTCTTCGGGGTTAGAATTTAGTAAACTAAGAAGCAAGGTAGCTAAATGAACTTAGAATTGAACTTGAATGTTTTGTGTTCATGGTATATGGCTAAGTGCAACCTATTTATAGCAAACTTCTGGGGAGTATGGGAGGGAGGGACCATTGATGCTTATGAGACACCAGTGGTGGAGATTGGCTATTTTTTATGACATGAGATATCCAATATTGGTCAATGTTAATTCAAAAGAATTTAGATATATGTATTTACTGCCGAATGAATATTATGATCATTAATCACTAATCAAATCAATAATCACAAATTTATTGCTCTTTTGGGGACAAACGATCTGTTTGTTTGATAGTCTTTACCAGAAACTTACAAGACTAAAACAAATTCCTAATCAAGGTTTTCTCAGAATGACCAATCTACCTAGAAAAGTTTTGTCATGTCATTTGCAGTTTCAAGCAGAGAATTAGTGTAGAATATTATATACTATTAATTTCTTTCTTGTCTGTTCCATTGTTTTCTAGGATAGATCATTTGAGTTTGATATACAATTTGGTTATTTGTGTGTATTTTGCTGGTAGTATTTCTTGTTTTTATGTACAACCAAACTTACAAAACTTGAAAGAAAAAAACAGGTTCCGAAAGAATGGATGGGACGTTCTCATTATAATCCCTTTATGGATATGCTTTCTTCCAAATTACCCAAATAGTCGAATAAGTCCATCATGTGATGAAGTAGAACTCTAGCAAATGGCGTTGATATTAGTTCTACATCGGCTAAAAAAGGTGAAATTATTTCTGCATTTAACTCATTTGAAATTAATTTTTTATATTTTAAATTTGGTTTTGAGATCCCTAAATTTTAAAATTTTTTATTTTTTATTTTTTGCTAGAAATAATAGAGCAATTTAGTTGTTTTTTTTTTTCCTCTTTCTTTTTCCATCCTAAAGCAGTCAATCATTAGCGCCAAAATAGAGAAAGAAGATGTGGAAAGAAAAAAAAATTAAGAAGGATTTAAAACAGATTTCACACAACTTGCATATTGAAATTTCAATCTGGAAGAAAAGAAGCATGTTACAGTTTCAAGAAATATGAAATTCTCCAATGATCAAAGAGTTTGGACTCAGACTTGCAACAATGTAAAATAATTAGAACCAAAAATAGACCCCCCTCGCCCACCTGAAAATAAAATAAGAGAATGCACATGCTAAGTAATTGACTCAATTTGCATTTTATTAAACTTTCTTACTAGTTTATTTTTTTTTTATGTTAAATTAATTAATTAATATTTTAAAGTTTATTGGTTTATATGATGAATAAGTTCGCTTTCCACGTTATTATTTTAAATTTAAATTCAAGTAAAATATGCAACAAAAAAAAATAATTATTGAACACGTTAGTTAGGTCAGCGTGAACAAATTGTCTAGAATCTCAACCAAAAAGAGATTTAAATTCAATGTGCGAAAATTAATCCTAGAACATTCTAACTATTAAAACAAAATTTTAATTAATAATAGTTTTATCAATTAATTTTCAGTTGTATTATTATTAATTTGCAATTATTTTTAATTTTTTTAATTATATATGTTAACTTTTTTTTTTTAGGGAAATTTATATGTAAACTATTTCAACTTAATCGGGATTTGCGGACTATGATTGCATTAACAAAAAGTGAGAGTTGACTATTAAGGGGTGTTTGATAATCTATTTAAATATCTTAAAAAATTAAGTTATAGTACTTAATATAAAAAAATTATTTGATAACCCAAATAATCTCATATTAAAAATTTAAGTTCGAGTCAAAATCTATTTAATCGGATAAATTAAAATTTTTAATTTATTACTTTTTGATTAACACACTCGGTTGAAACAGCTTTTAAATTTTTTTAAATATGATTATATCATCCTTATATATATTTTTATAACTTCGGATATATAAATCAAATGAAAAACAATCTCTACTGTCTCTATTGTTAAAACAAAAAAAAACCTTCTCTACTATTTTCATTGCGAAAGAATTGACAATAATACTTCTAAATAAACAATCAGTAACAATACTCTGCATGGCCAAGACAATATTCAACTCCCTAGCAACCTAATTGGGAATTTGGCAGGGGTTAATGGAGTTCGAAAGTGAAATATCCTAACTTAAATAATGGAGATTCACCTGATCTGTAGTGCACACACAGCTCCTCTCCCAAAATTTGCCCAATTACCTTCTTTCTGTAGTTTTGGGGAATCAGTGGCACGGGGCTCTCCTTCTTTCTTAATGGGTCTAGGCTGTTGAAGTTCATTAACGTTGTAAAACCTAAGGCATGATCCAAGACATAAATCATACATGTGTAAGGCTACTATAAAGTGCAACAAGTCGTAAAATTCTGCCTTGCCTTATGATTGAAAATTTTTGAAGTACTTAGATGAACAACTCAGATCAAAATTGACCATTAACCAGTGCAATTTTCAAGTACTCAAGATTCAATGGAAAATTCGGCAAATGGAGACAACGAGAAGAGAGAGAGAGGTTTTCATTTATTTTGTGCATGATATGATAATTAATATTATCTTAGACCGTATTGAATTTTTTATTAATAATCTTTTTTATTGAATTTTATTTATTTATTTATACACAAACACATCTATGTATATATTTTTATTTATATTAAAAAAAATCATATTACAATTACAAGGTTAAAATTATCATGTACATATCCTTAATATTTTCACTCTTAATATGTTCATCAATAGTACTTATCAAACAAGCTTATTATATTCAGCATTTAATTTTCAGTAAATACCAAACAGACTTGTTAAGAAAATATTCAATACTTAATTATTCAAGCACTTAAAATTCAATACTTAATAGATTCAACACTTAATTTTTAATTTTATCAAACACCCATTTAGTTTTGTTTTGTTAATCATCCAAAAATTGTGTACAACAATTTAATCCAAAAATAAATCCAAGTGTTAAAAAGAAAAACCCATAAAGACACAAGCTCATTAAAAAAAAAAAAAAAAGATCATCATATATACAACCAATAAATTTCAATTTTTCACGAGGAACGTTAAAATCACAAAAACTAATGAGTAATTTTTTTTATTTGTCAAATGGTCTAGAAATCTTAAATAACACAATAGAAAGTAATCATCTTTCGTTACATTATCATTAAAAAAATTTAAAATATTAAAATTCAAATCTTAATTCATTAAAAAAAACTGTATGAATACATAATCGTTACATTAAGTCTATTTGTGTTATGAGATAATGAATGTTCATTTTATATTCTTACTACTCATGTAATTTAATTCACTATTTAATATGAGAAATTGAAAGGGTGATGTAATTTATTCAATTACTTATGTATCTTTTAATGGTTCATAGTCCCTTCTAATTCTTTTCATAATCTTGAAGCCTATTTGATTATTCATTAGTTTACGTAGAGGTATTTTGTAGAGATTCAGAGAATCATTTAAAGTTGTTATCTCTTGTGTTCACTTCATTTTATAGTAAATTCATTTTCTTATCATATTTCTCTTCAATTCTACTATTGTTATGATTTTTTTTATAACACGTTATCGACATGAAGCTCTCACCAATCAAGATAATAGACCATGAGGTATGTATCTATCAAAAGAGTTAATCATTTATTTTAACCATTGGATTTTTTCTACACAAGTACTCTACCAAAAGATCTAAATTATTTAGATCATTAAGACATATGTATCTAATTTATCGTGTAATTTAAATCTAATGATATATAGAATATATATTTGAAAAACTTAAATGATTTAATATGTAGAATCTAATAATTTAATATATATTGTTTGAAAAGTTTAAATTTTATTATTATAGTTTGTTTTTATTTTCTAATATTATTATTATACATTGTATTATAGAATTTTTATGATATCAAACCTCACAAAACTTGATTTTTGGCCCTTGACATTTTGAGCAATAATTATTGATCACGAATGCTTGATGCTCAGTAAATATTCTTTACTTTTCATATCTCGAATATGCTCCTGCAGTAGTATATCAAGAAAAAGAGTTTAAGAAATATTCTGAATCAATTTTATATTTGCTTGTGGATAAATAAAATAGCAAGCTATTGATGAAAAAGAATAAATCTCGACCAACTAAATCTACTCTATTCATTGAAGTGAATGTGATAACTTATAATAATTTTAGGCATGGATGAAGGCATGGTTATAACTATGGACGTGATCAAAATAATTATCTTTACAATCATGATAGCCATAACAATATATTTTACCATTAGAAGTGGATAAATTATATATAAAAAAACCATAATAATAATAGATCAAGTCAATAATCTAAAAATGAATGTTATAGATGTGACATGAATGGGCATTGGTTGCGTACTTGCTGTATACTAAAGCACCATATTGAGTCTTATTAAGCCTCGTTGAAAAAAAAAGTAAAATATAAAAGCCAATTTTATAGCAAAATGAAGGTAATTGAAATTAATAACTTTTTAGTTTTTCTATTTATAAATAAGATGTTTTATATTTTCTTATAATTTCTACTACATAGAGATAGTTGTAAGTTTATTTTACTATTTATTTGTTTATTTGTGTTTATGAAGAACATATTTATTTATTTAATTATTTATTTTATGTTAATATTATATCTAATAATATCAATGTAATCGAAAGCTTTAGAAGAGTAAAAATATTATTACTTGAAGAGATACATTTTTTAAGTTTTAGAAAAGTGAATATATTATTACTTGAAGGGGCAACTTTTAAAAGTCGTAGAAGAGCCGATACAAGTGACATAATTTAAAGGCTCTAGAAGAACAAATATGTTATTATTTGAAGGGATAAAATTTATTATAAATGATATATTATTCTCTCCAAAGTCTCATAAAAATTTGTTGAGTTTTAAAAATATTCATCTAGATTGATATCATATCAAGATAGCAAATGTGAATACTTATATATTATAATTATAATACTAGGTAGAAAATACGTATTGAAAAATTTACATGATTTCTCTTATTTGAATGCTTGAAACAAATGTTATAGTAAACCGAAGTTTACTAATTCAAATACTTTTATTATATGGCATGATCAGTTGTGTTATCTTGAGTCTTTTTTGATGTAAAAAATTATCAAAAATTCATATGGGCATCTATCGAAGAGCCGAAGATTCTTCAATTTAATGAATTTTCATGTTTTGTATGTTCTCAAGGCAAATTGATTATTAAGCCATCATCAAGTAAATTTGAGATTGAATCTCCAGTATTTTTAGATGTATTCAAGGTGATATATGTAGATCAATTCATCCATCATGTGTAACATTAAAATATTTTATGATTTTAATATATGCATCTATAAAATAGTCACATGTATATTTATTATCTACTTAAAACCCGATGTTTTCGAGATTGGCGACCCAAAAATTCAATTACAAGCATAATTTCTAAATTATATCATTAAAATAATTCACCTTGATAATACTAGTAAATTTATCTTTTAAGCATTAAATGGTTATTGATTGACTATTAGAATAAAGGTTGAGCATCTTGTTACTCATATTTATACTCGTAAAGATTTAGCAAAACCATTTATCAAAAGGCTCAAATTGATAACTAACCATTATTTAAAAATAAAATTTCATGTTTATGTTTGGAGACATGCAATCTTACATGCATCAATACTTATTCGCATCGGACCCATAAGTTATAAAAAATTCTTCCCCCTTTCAATTAGTTTATGATCATGAGCTAAATATTTCTTATTTAAGAATCTTTGACATTGTAGTATATATCCGTAGTGCTCTTCCATAATGAATTAAAATGAGAACTTAAAGGAGATTGAGAATATGTATTGGATTTAAATCCTCTTCAATAATTCAATATCTTGAACCATGAAAAAACGATATTTTTACGAGCTTGATTTATCAACTGTCATTTTGATGAAATAGTTTTTTCAACATTAAGGGAAGAGAATAAGCAAGATAAGTAGTTGAAAATGTTGAAAAAAATATATTATATGGAGTACTCTATCTTATATTATTTTAATCCTCACACAAAATAATGTGAATCGAAAGTTCAAAAGATAATTCATTTATAAGTTATTACAAATTAATTGCCATATGTATTCTCAAATCCTAAGACGAGTAACTAAAATGCATATCCCCATTAAGAACGCTCCTATTAGAATCGATGTCCTAGAAGGACAATCTATTAATGTTATACCAAATGAATCTAAAGCACGCCCGAAGCATGGAAGATCGATTGGTTTTAAAGATAAAAATCTTTAAAAGAAAAGGACAAATAATCAATATGAAAATATAAAGGATGCAAATATTTACAAAAAAGGTCTATGATATTTTTGATAATAGGTTTCTAGAAGAAGTCCAAATTCTTAAGAAAAATCAAAAGATTTTGATAAATTATGTCAATACAAAGAGAAAATAAGATCGAAAAGAAATATTTATTGATAAGATTTTTGTATATAATGTTTCAGTTGATATCTTGAATGAAAATAAGGATCCTAAGCCTAAATTTATTAAAGAATGTTGACATAAAGATGATTGACCTAAATGAAAAGAACAATCTAAACGGAATTATGTTCTTTTACCAATGAGTAGTTTTTGAACTCATAGTCAAAACACTCGAAGATGTTAAGCCTATAGAATACAAATGTGTATTTATGCAAACAAGAAATGAGAAAGGTGAGATCATAGCAAGACTCGTTAACATAAAAGTTTTCGCTAAGACTCGATATTGACTATGAGGAGCTATATTCTCCTATAATTGATGCAATTATATTTTGTTATCTCATTAGCCTAACAAAATATATGAAAAAATTCATATGTATGCATTTAATGAATGTGATCACGGTTATTTGTTCGATTAAAAATGATATCTATATGAAAGTCCTAAAAGGACTTAAAGTGCTTGAAGCATGTAATACATATTCTCAAGAAATGAATTCAATTAAATTATAGAGATCTCTATCGAAATTATTTTAGTATTTATTTTATTATTTTAGTTTTTAGAAATTTAATTTATGCCATAATTTTTATATTTATTTTTTTATTCTTTAAAATCTACTCTTTATTACTAACCTATGTGTATGTGGTATAATTGCTTCAATAAATATTTATTGAAAGAATATTATAAAAATAATCATATTTATTCATATATTTTTATAAATAAATTCAAAAAAAGTTTGTGATAATTGTTGTATATGTTGATGATTTAAATATTATTGGAACTCCTAAATGGATTTAAAGTGCCATAAGTTATCTAAAAAAAGAAGTTGATATGAATACCTTAGGAAATAAAATTTTATCTCGACTCGCAGTTCGAGCACTTAGAAAATGATATGTTTATTCATTAGTCAATACAATGATTCAACATAAAGCTCATCCATTGATTAGCCCAATAGTAGTTTATTTACTTGATATCCAAAAAGACCATTTTTCAACTTCGAGAAGATAACAAAGAATTATTTGGTTCCGAAGTATCATATCTTAGTGCAATTAATGTATTGATATATCTTGTTAATAATACTCGGACCCGATATAATCTTTTTTATATAAATTTATTATCAAGACATAATTTTTGCACCAATATGGAGATATTAGAATGGAAGTAAACATTTTCTACATTATCTCCAAGAAATATTGATATGGTCATGCATTTACACTTGGTGATATAGTTATATTATGGCATTCTATGAAGTAAACTATAGCTGTTAGATATTCAAATCACCATGCAGAAATACCAATTTATGAGACAAGTTAAGAATGTGTTTGGCTAAAATCAACGATCCATCATATTCGAGAGACATATAATTTATCTACTAATAAAGAAGCTCCAACAATATTATATGAAGATAATTTTGCTTGCATAATTTCATTAAAGGAAGAATACATCAAAGTGATAATCCGACGGACTTATTCGCTAAGGATTATCTATCACAACTTTTGAAAAAATGGTTCGTAAGACTCGGATGCATCGTCTTAAAGATCTTAAATGATGTTTTTAACCGAGGGAGCCCAACATCGAGATTAATGCCTACAAGGAATATTGTACTCTTTTTTCTTTACTAGAATTTTTTCCTACGGGGTTTTTTTTAGTATGGCTTTAATGAGGCATGTTCCATAGACGATGAACATTCAAGAGGGAGTGTTAAGAAATAATGAATGTCCATTTTATATTCCCACTACTCATGTGATTTAATTCACCATTCAATATGAGAAATTGAAAGGGTAACGCAATTTATTCAATTATTTATGCATATTTTAATGGTTTATAGTCCCTTTCAATTCTTTTCTTAACATTCAAGAGGGAGTGTTATGAAATAATGAATGTCCATTTTATATTCCCACTACTCATGTGATTTAATTCACCATTCAATATGAGAAATTGAAAGGGTAATGCAATTTATTCAATTATTTATGCATCTTTTAATGGTTTATAGTCCATTTCAATTCTTTTCTTAACATTCAAGAGGGAGTGTTATGAAATAATGAATGTCCATTTTATATTTTTACTACTCATGTAATTTAATTCACCATTCAATATGAGAAATTGAAAAGATAATGTAATATATTTAATTATTTATGAATCTTTTAATAGTTTATAATTCCTTTCAATTTTTTTTTAATCTTGAAGCATATAAATGAGTTTGGTTATTCATTAGTTTTAATTTGTGAAAAAACATTTTGTAGAGATTGAGAGAATCATTATTTCGAATTGTTATCTTTTGCATTCACTTCATTTTATAGTAAATTCATTTTTTTATCATATTTCTCTTCAATTCTATTATTGTTAAAATTTCTTTTATAACAATTTATATAGTAATAACTAATTATTGATTAGTAGTGGAATTAAGACAATTAATGATTTAATTAGGAAGATTTGTGTCAATTTGAGAGATGTCGATGCCTTGACGGTGGCTGCTCGAAGTTTCCAGGCTGGAACCATCCTTTGAATGTTTGACTCTTCGCGTCCCTTTCTGGTTGAACTGGCTAAAGGCAGCTACCTAGTCGCTTTCCACGTGTGAGTAATTTGAAATAATAAATAATAGATAAAATTATAACAGTAACTCTCAATTTAGCCCCTGTATTGTGTCACCCAAACCAATAAGTCCCTGTTAAAAATTTCATCAATTCTAATCAATGTCGCTCCTCATAAAAAGCAATTAATAAATTTTTTTCTACAAATGTTTTTTTTTTCAACAAAATCACTTGAATATACACCATTTTATTTATTGCCAACTATCATTAGCATTTAATTTAGTAACAAGAGGCAAATGGAAATAACAATAATTTAATCAATTTTTGAACTTTCCCTTTTAATCCTTACGTTTTCTATCTCGTAACATAGGTTCAAATAAAAATGTATCAATTGTCTGCCATAATTTTCTTTTTTCTTTTCAATGAAAAATTTGCCCCTCTTGAGAAGTTTTTTTGGTTTTCGCCACTGATAAAATAATATAGCCAACTCCATCCACACACATATGATTGATGGAAAGAAAATAAAACAGTATCAGGCTATCAGCTTAGAAGAAATTGAGGACTACAATCAAATTAGTGGAGCCCTCTTTTGCTAGCTTGCAAATCTCTAGTTCAAACCTAACTAACACCAATTCTCATCTTATTCAATTTCAAAAATAAGGTAGAAACTAAATAGTAATTAAGAGATAATGGCGTTGATCTACGTAGCCATGCATTTAAGAATACCAGTTGGATCCAATCAAGACCTCCTGGTACATGGAGTTTGGACATTCTCCTAACACAATTATTTGATTTGTGAACTGAAACCCCACATGGATTCTATCCCATCGTTGTTTGATTTGTGAGTCTTGCTGTCTGATTTAAGAATGAATGACATATCCTTTATGTTAGATATGCATTTATGGCGCTTATGTTTTTGCCTCTCCACTCCATTTCTCATCCACTAAAAATCTCTATGTTTATCTCATTGAAAGTTCTTCTGATCGATCGGTTGGAGAGAAATCCTTTTCATTCTTGAATTGTATTGATGTAGTCTTGGCTGGTTTCGTGATCCATTATCCTCCATAAAAAATGCCAAATTACAATTCAAAATTGATGCGAAGTTTCTCTACATATGAACGAACCATTGATATTTGGTGAAAAAAAATTGTTATATATATATATATATATATATATCACATTTACAAATCCATTTTAATAAAGTTCCATTTGAAAATTGACCGATGCATAAAATCATCTTCTTCTTTTTTTTTCCCCCTCTAATTTCGATGCAGTAGTTGATCAGATTCCTATATGGATATGAAACCCAGCACATAGAACCCAACTTATCTCTTTCCCTATATCTGATTTTAGAAAAGAGCTAATGCCATCTAATTTCAGGATTATTACAACTTGATTGGAGTATTTCTAGTTGAATTTCCATTCTTGTGTACAGAAAATAGACGAAAGATTTGGAGAGCTAGTGGAATGTGCATGATGCGTGTATGGGGCCTCGAAGCCGCTAAAAAAACCATTTAGTTCCAAAATAGATTAAAGCCATGGCCCCCAAACTTAAGGAGGTCTTTGAGAAGGACCCCAAATGCATCAATGATAGATTAGTGCACTAGTTCTGGTTACAGGGACCTTCTATACCAAAAAGCGATGGCCTTGGCCAATTGAGATGGGTCAGCACTCAGCAGGTAATGAGTGCCAATTAACCTGATGGCAATTGGTCACATAAAGAACGGGACAGGTCCATTAATTTGTTTGCTTTGGTGACTGGTCAAATTGGTTCTTCGCACTCTTAATCTTGAACCCACCTACATTAAATGTGTAATATTGGTTGGCAACGATGGGACAAATCAACGAGAAATCAATTTCAGAAGATACCATCCGTCTGAATTTGATTTGATTTCTTGAAAAGTTCGAATTTCAACGTAGTCAGAAATTTATAAAATGAGTCCGCATCATGTTAGAATTATAAACATTAATATATATATATATATATATATACACACAAAAACAGTGAATTACCTAACGAAAAATTCCGTAGGTGATTATAACAACTTTCGTAGGTAAAGAAATTACTTACAGAATTGCCGACGGAATATTCCGTAAAAATTTTTGCCTACAAAGCAGATAATGTTTTATATTATTGATAAGAAGAAGGAAAAAAAAAAAGTCTTTAATAGAAACATCACATTACTCGCATGAATAAGGATAGGAATGAAGTCATGTATTAGAGTATACATCTTCATTAATGGAGTCATTCTTAACGTATGTGTATACCCCTTTGTTAGTGAAGGACATGCTAACATATCTTAATGTAATTATGAGGCTAAATGAACCAAATTTCTTTTGAAAATCAGTTTCTGAGTTTTTAATGTTAGAATTGACCTTTTTTAAAAAGATTTTGCCCTTCTCCAACTATCATTCCTTTTTAAAATTTATATTCTAAATATTTTGAATTAAAGTTTTGCACAAATTGAAAAACATCCTATTATGCAAAAATATCTTAGAATTTTTCAAGATCGTGAAATATATTGTTTTACTTTCTTAACATTAAAAATATACAAAATTAAAAAAAATAAAAAATAATCAGCTGATTTTGTTTTAGAGAGCTCCAAATAAATTTTATTGAATGTTTTCTAAAGTGAGGCTATTTATGTGACTATTATCTTTTATATATATAGAAAACTAAAATATGGAATATATATATCAAAAGAGATCAAACTAGAAATTAGAGATTTAGAGACTTATTTTCAAATAGATTAGAATTCAAGAAAATTTTTAACCATTTAGCCTAATTATGATACAATTAAAGATAACATATGGAAAATTGAGACTAATAAACATCCTAATATAATTCATTAAACCAAAATAACATATAAATTATATAACAAAATTCACATAATATCACTAATATATATATATATATATATATATATATATATATATATATATATATATATATATATATATATAATTAAAAGATAAAACATTGAAAAATAATTAGTTGTTATCACCTAAATTGTTAACATATCTTTCAATTCATTAACAACTAACGAGAAAAATAAATGTTATTTATAAAAAAAATAAAAGAATTAATTAACTACAAAATTATAACAAACTAATTAAATCACAAAATTAAATTTATATCACAAAAGATCATATTACATCAACTTTTTCCAAATCACCACCAAACCATAAATTATTAGATTTTCTTCTAATAGAGCCGTAAACCAAAAAAATTTATCAAAAACATAAATTAATACAATTTTCCCCAAATTACTGGTAAATCTAACTTGAAAATAATTATTTATTACCAAACCTAAATTAACAAATTATATTCCAATAGATTCACAATTAGCATTCAAAAACTTAAATATTTATCAAAAACACTAACTAATATAATTTTCTCTAAATTAATCCCAAACCCTAAATTGAAAAATAATTCTTTCCTAACAAGTTAATTAATAACTCGAATTTAAATTGAGAATCAATTCAATCCTAAAAAAATAATTTATTTTATGAACACATCCTAATTATCAATTTTCTTCCAATTATCTCCAAACCCTAAATTACAAAATAATTGTCTTGTAGCACCTAAATAGTCAAACAAACTTTAAATTGAGAATCAATTCAACTCCCAAAAAAGAAATTATTTTATGAAAAACACTTCCTAATCTTCACCTAAATTTACCTCAAATCATAAATTGTAAATTAATTTTTTTGTAACACCTAAATTACCAACATAACTTTAAATTGAGACTTAATTCAACCTAACAAACTCATTATTTATATAAAAAAACACATTCTAATCAATTTCTCCCAAATTAATCTCAAACCCTAAATTGTAAAATTTTAACACAAACACATCAAAAATACCAACAGACAATAACATTTACAACATGTAATGTTGAAATTCAATCTACAATTTTCATTAACCATTAACTAAATAAGCAGAGTTAAAGACTTACTAGATTGAAATGTTAGGGAATGGAAAACACATAAGGAAGGGATGGTGGTTGGAAGGGGAGAGCTCTTGTCGTTGGATGAGTTGCTCGGCATCGCCCTTATTGTTGATGATGCCATGGCACCTAGTGTTGCTCGGTGAGGGAGAAACATTTTTGGGGTGCTGTTGTTTCTATTTCGAAATTGTGTCCCCTCTTTTATTTTATTTATTTATTTTTTTGAGCTTAAAGTCACCGATGAAAAAAAAATTATGGATAATTTTGATGGTGACCACTATGTTCGTTTTCACGGTAGTATACTTTCCACTTGCTTATCGTGGTTGATAGTAAGGAATCCAAAATTCATATATGTTTATCTTATACGAGCTTCTTTGAAAAGTAAGAAACGCAAAAATAAGGAAACTTTCGATATTTGCCAATTCATTTGATAATACATATAAATACACCTTAATAAGTAATATTATGGATTAATCAGTTATAAAATAAATAGAAATAATAGGAGAATTGAAGAAAAGGATGACACGAAAATGAAATTACTCGTAATGTGAATATAAGTGATAAGAACTTCAAAGTTTCTCTTATTCTCTTTAGGAAACTTGTACACCAACTAATGAACAATCAAGCGTATTTATAGGCTTCAAAATTGAGGAGAGAATTGGAAGTGAACTATGAATAATCAATTGCATCACCCTTTCAATTTCTCATATTGAATGATGAATTGAATCATATTAAGAATCATGAGTAGTGGGGATATGAAAAGTGGATGAACATGATGATGGACATTCATTATTTCATAACACTCCCCTCGAATGTCCATTGTACAAGGAACATGCCTTGTTAAAACCTTATTAGGAAAAAACCTAGTGGGAAAAAAATCCTAGTGAAGGAAAAATAGTACAATATTTCTTGCACACATTAATCCCTATTTTTGTCTCCTCCAAGTTGAAGACATTATTTAAGATCTCTAAGATGATGCATTCCAATCTTATGAATCATCTTCTCAAAAGTTGTGGTAGGTAAGACCTTAGTGAACAAATCTGCTGGATTTTAATTTTAATGTATTCTTCCTTCAATGGAACTATGTAAGCAGCATTATCCTTATATGATATTATTGAAATTTTTTTTGCTGATAGATAAATTGCATGTCTCTCGGATATGATAGATCATTGATCTTAGCCAAACACATTCTTGACTTGCCTCGTGAATTGATATTTACGCATGATTCGAAGATATGGTAACCGTAGTTTGCTTCATAGAACGCCAAGATATAGTTGTATCTCTATATGTAAATATATAACCAGTTATGATCGAGCTTTGTGTAGATTAGATAAATAACTCGCATCCGCATAACCAATTAATCTTACCTTTAATTTATTGGAGTAATATAAGCCCATATCAATTATTCCTCGAAGATAACGTAGTATATATTTAACTTTATTTCAATGTCTCTATATTGAAACAAAACTATGACTTGCTAAAAAATTTATAGAAAAGACTATATCAAGTCGAATATTATTAGTAAGATACATTAATGCACCGGTGGTACTAAAATATGGTACTTCGGGACCAAGTAGTTCTTCGTTATTTTCTCGAGGTCAAAAGGGGTCTTTTTAGATATCAAGTGAATGATCTTTATATAGAATCATTGTAGAACCTTTTTCTATATAAATTGATTGATGAATAAAAATCTCATTCTCCGAGTGCTCGAACCGCAGGTCGAGATAACATTTTGTTTTCCCAAGATATTCACATCAAATTCTCTTTTTAGGTAACTTATGACACTTGGAATTTCTTCGGGAGTTCCAATAATATTTAAGTTATCAACATATAAAACAAACCCCTTTTCAAATAAAAACATATGAAAAAATAGGGTTATTTTTTATAACTTTCTTTCAATAAATAATCATTGAAGTGATTATATCACATGCACATGGGTTAGTAATAAACAGTAGATATAAAAATAAAATATAAAAAGTATAAAATGAATTTCTAAAAAGTAAAATAATAAAACAAATACTAAAATAATCCTAAAAGAGATCTCTATAATTTAATTGAATTCTTATCTCGAGAATATATATTACATGCTTCGGCATGTTAAATCCTTCTAGGACTTTCGTACGGATTCATCTCAAATGAAGAAATAAATTGTGATCACATTCATTAAATGCATGCATATAAATGTTTTTCATATATTTTTCCAGGCTAATGAGATAATAAAATATAATTGCATCCATTATAGGAGAATATGTCTCCTCATAGTCAATGTTAGTTTGCAAAAACTCTTTTATTAAAAGTTTTGCTTTGTATCTTATAATCTCATCTTTCTTATTTCGTATTCGCATAAATACACATTTGTATCCCACTAGGTTAACATCTTCAAGTGTTTAAGCTATTGGTTCAAAAAACTATTTTGTAGGAGGACATAATTACTGTCTGGATTGCTCTTTTCATTTAGGCCAATCATCTTTATGTCGACATTTTCAATAATTTAGGCTTAGGATCCTTATTTTCATCCATAATCTCAATTGCAATATTATATGTAAAAAATCTTATCAATCGATGTTTCTTTTCGGTCCTATTTTCTCCATGCATTGATATAATTTATCAAAATCTCTTGATTTTTTTCAAGTATTTAGACTTCTTCCGAAAGTCTATTATCGAAATATATTGGACCATTTTGTGAATATTTTCATCTTGTCCTTTTCTTTTAGGGATTTTTATCTTTAAAACCGATCGGTCTTCTATGCTTCGAGCGTACTTTAGATTTATTAGCTATAACATTAATAGATCGTCCTTCCGGGACATCAATTCTAATATGAGCATTCTCGGCGAGGACATGCATTATAGTTACTCATTTAGGATCCGAGAATGCATCTAGTAGTTGGTTTGTAATACCTTTTAAATGAATTATCTTTTGAACTTCGGTTCACATTATTTTGTATGAGATTCAATATGATATAAAGATAGAGTACTCCATGTAATTTTTTTTCCAATATTTGCAATCGCTTATTTTGCTCTCTCCCCTAATGTTGGAAAAACTTTTTCATCAAAATGAAAGTCGATAAATCGAGTTGTAAAAATACCTCTTGTTCATGAATCAAAAGATCGAAGAAGATTCAAATCCAACATATATTCTCAATCTCCTTTAAGTGCTCATTGTATCTTATTATGGAGGAGAACTACGGATATGTACTACAATGCCAAAAATTCTTAAATAAGAAATATTTGACTCATGACCATAAATTAATTGAAGAGAAGAGAATTTTTGATAAATTATGGGTCCGATGCGAATAAGTGTTGCTGCATGTAAGATTGCATGTCCCCTAACATAAACTCGGGAGTTTTATTTTAAATAATGATTTAGCTATCAATTGGAGCCTTTTGATAAATGATTTTGCTAAACCTTTCTAAGTATGAACATAAGCAACAGTGCTATTCATTCTTCATTCTAATAGCCAATCAATAATAATTTAATGCTTTGGAAATAAATTCACCAAGCATTATCATCAACATTATCAAGGTGACTTGTTTTAATGGCATAATCTGAAAATTATGCTCGAAATTAAATTATTTGCCGGTAATTTTGAAAACATCGGGTTTCGAGTAGATAATATGTATATATGTGACTATCTTATGGAAGCATTTATCAAAATCATAAAATATTTAAATGGTCCACATGGTGGATGAATTAATCCATATATATCACCTTGAATATATTCTAAAAATCATAGAGATTCAATCTCAATTTAACTTGGTGATGGCTTAATAATCAATTTGCCTTGAAAACATACGGAACATAAAAATTCATTAAATTGAAGAATCTTTTGGCTCTTCGATTGATGTCCATATGAATTTTTGATAATTTTTTGCATCATGAAAGACCCAAGATAAGCACAACTGATCATGTCACATGATAAAAGCATTTGAATTAGTAAACTTCGGTTTACTATAATATATTTTGTTTCAATCATTTTAATGTCCGTAAAAAAAGACTAGAAGAGAAAACGGATAATTTTTTTTTTATAGATATTTTCTATCCAATTGATGTCCATATGAATTTTTGATAATTTTTCGCATCATGAAAGACCCAAGATAGCACAACTGGTCATGTCACATGATAAAAGCATTTGAATTAGTAAACTTCGGTTTACTATAATATATTTTGTTTCAATCATTTCAATGTCCGTAAAAAAAGACTAGAAGAGAAAACGGATAAATTTTTTTTTTGATAGATATTTTCTATCCAATATAATGATTATAACATATAAATATTCACATTTGCTATCTTGATATGATATCAATTTAAATGAATATCTTTGAAACTCAACAAATTTCTATGAGACTTTAAAGAGAATAGTACATCATTCATAATAAATTTATCCTTTCGGATAATAACATATTTGCTCTTCCGGAGCCTTTTAAATTAGTCACTTCAAGTAATAATACATCGACTCTTCTAGAGCCTTTAAAAATTTTCTCTTCAAGTAATAATTTATTCACTCTTCTAGACCTTCAAAATTTATCTCTTCAAATCATTATATAATCGCTCTTCGAGCGCCTTCAAAATCTATCTCTTTAGATAATAATATAGTCGCTCTTCTAGAGCTCTCTATTAGATTGATATTATCATATATAATATTAACATAAAATAAATAATCAAATAAATCAATATATGCCTCATAAACATAGACAAATAAATAAAAAATAAATTTGTAACCATCAATATACAACGTAAATTATAAGAAATATAAAGTATTTTATTTATAAATATAAAAACTAACAAGTAATTAATTTCAATTACTATTATTTTGATATATAAAATTAGCCTCTATATTTTATTTTCTTTTCTTTTTCAACGAGGTTTGACAAGGCTTGATGAGATGCTTTGGTGTACGGCAGGTACACGACTAATGTCCATTCATACCATATTTATAACATTGATTTTCAGAATACCGACTTTATCTATTTTCATTCTTTTTTTTCCATAGTTATCCACTTCCGGTGGTAAGATGTAATATTATGGTCATCACAATTATAATGATAATTATTTTGACAACATCCATGGCTATAACTACATCTTCGTCCATGCCTAAAATTATTATAAATTGTCACATTCACTTCGGGGAATGGAATAGATCCAATTGGATGAGATTT